TTCACTGGGAACATAGCATAAAGGGCCAACATGGAATTGCTTTAAAAAAAAAAAATCACACCTATGACTTGTCATGTAATGCATCAGTACTGAAACACTGGAACATTTCAAAAACATCCAATTTTATCTACATTAGTAATGCATTCTAGTCACTACAGAGGAACATAACGTTTGCATTCTGCAGAATGCTGAGCCATTTTATTTCATCTGATTAATCAAAAGGTTGGAAACATCACGTACAATGGAGACACGAAAAAAGTAACTTCCTATCCATTACTGGCATAAACCCAACTTAGCTCAAAAGGCTAGATTTCTCTGGAATGGATGATGGTCTCACAAAACAAGTAAAAGAGGAACAAGCTACCAAAACGTATTCATATATCGGTAAAATAGCAACAAGATAAAACATCTGGCATTTTCATATTATATGTACCCCATGTTATGTTACAAGAGGGAAAAGAAGATTATGGTTTCATAGTTTCATAGTTTGTAGGGTCGGAACGGATCTTGACAGATCATCAAGTCCAACCCCCTGCCATGGTAGGAAAGAGTACTGGGGTCACACAACCCCAGCAAGGTGTTCATCCATGCTGCTTTGAAAGACCCCCAGGGTAGGAGCCAGCACCACTTCTCTTGGAAGTTGGTTCCAGATCCTAGCCACCCTGACTGTGAAGTAGCGCCTCCCGATGTCTAGGCTAAATCTACCCTCTGCCAGCTTGTGACCATTATTTCTAGTCACTCCTGGTAGTGCTTGGGGGAACAGGGACTCCCCCATTGCCTGCTGGTCTCTCCTGACCAGTTTGTAACAGGCCACTAGATCCCCCCTCAGCCTTCTCTTGTGGAGGCTGAACAGGTTCAGGTCCCTTAGCCTCTCCTCGTAGGGCCTGCCCTGCTGCCCCCTGATCATGCGGGTGGCCCTTCTCTGGATCCTCTCCATGTTGTCCACATCCCTCCTGAAGTGTGGCCTGACCCGTGCCGCATAGAGGGGGAGGATCACCTCCCTGGACCTGCTTGAGATGCATCTGTGGATGCATGACCCCTTCATTATCTGATATTGTTTTACCCTGTACCCTATTCCAAACCTACTCTTTGTAACCAATAAAGTTCTACTCTGTACCTAGCATGGGAGACTTATTGAGAGAGGGTCTAGATTATGCCTTGGGGTCCCCTTGGTTCGGCTGACTAAGGGAGACCACTATTTCTGCTTCAGACTAAGGGAAGCACCCCAAGTTCTTGCAGTGGGCTGAGTACCCTCAAAGACTGCAAGGCCTGTGCTTCCCAGGGGGCACAAGGCCAAGATCAGTCCAGACCCTGGTTGGTGGTGGCGGCGTTACCCCCAGGCTTGTAGGTGTGCTTTAGGAAGGGGGTCGGCCAGATGTAAGATACCCCCAGGGAGGCACTCAGAGCCTGGAAAGTGGTTGGGCACAGTGAGGCAGGTGGATCAATGCAGGAACACCCCCTACTGGCCCACCACAGATCTAGCATTTAAATAAATAGGAGTTGAGATAGTTAAGATCAAAACTAATGGTTAAGGTGCTAACCCTAAGGATCTAAAAGCAACAGAATATTTTATAACTTTTAAAATGCTTCATGGGCACCATTTCACTATAGCATCTATCAATATAAAATACTCACAAGCAATGTAACTACTTTGCTGCTTTGAAAAGAATCTATACTTTATATTTACTTTAAGCTACAAAATGCTGCAATTCTTCCAAGCTCTAATATTCTAGAACCAATCAGACAGCACAGAAAGCATTACAAGTTCTGATGGATTGGCAATATAATACAGTAATAGCATATCAGCAACACGTACATGAGAAAAGAGATAATATTTAAACTGATGTAATGTTAATAAATAATATCTCTATATAGGAAATAAATTTAGTAGTATAGTACTATTCCAGCTCAAGGAGAAGAAAAAAGTCTAACTGAGGACAGAGAAACAAGGTCTGCATTTTTAAACTTTGGATATAAACAGAATTTTTAAAATAAGACAATTTGGAAATGCATCATTTTTTACATGATTTAGGAAGGAAATAAAAATGCCTCTTCTCTCTTGACAATTGACACAAGTGTGAGTTAGCTTCCATTCTGGATGACTCGTTATCAAGAAAATTATTTTTCTGAAGCCCTTGATGAATCAATTTCAAATCCAGGCCAGAAGGAAACACTGCAAGCATAGAAATCATAGAAAATTAGGGTTGGACGGGACCCCAGGAGGTCATCTAGTTCATTCCCCTGCTCAAAGCAGGACCATCCCAGTCAAAGCTTTGTTTAGCTGAGTCTTGAAAACCTCCAAGGATGGAACTTCCACCACCTATCTGGGTAACCTGTTCCAGTGTTTTACTATCCTCCTAGTGAGAAAATTCTTCTACTATCTAACCTAAACTTCCTTTGCTACAACTTGAGACCATTGCTCCTTGTTGTCATCTGCCACCACTGGGAATAGTCCAGCTCCATCTGCTTTCGAACCCCACTTCAGGTAGTTGAAGGCTGCTATTAAGTCCCCACTCCTCTTCTCTTCTCCACGCTAAATAAGCCTAGTTCCCTCAGCCTCTTCTCAGAAGTCATGTGCCCCAGCTACCTTACCATTTTTGTTGCTCTCCACTGGACTCTCTCCAATTTGTCCACATCCTTTCTATAGTGGAGGCCCCAAAACTGAACACAGTACTCCAGATGGGGCCTCACCAGTGCTGAATAGAGAGGAATAATCCTTCCCTTGAGATGCTGGCAATGCTTCTACTAATGTAGTCCAGAATGCCATTAGCCTTCTTGGCAACAAGGGCACACTGTTGACTCATATTCAGCTTATTTTCTATTGTAACCCCCAGTTCTCTTTCTGCAGAGCTGCTGCTCAGCCAGTCAGTTCCCAGACTGTACCAGTGCCTAGGATGGTT